TCGTATGAGTGCCATTGTATTTTGTACAACAGAGGAATCTCTATCTTTTTGTACCCTGATATGTAAGAAATATTCAAGTTAGTGGACCATACTGTATCAGATAATCAAGAAGGTGAAAGAAAAGATAAAATAAGGAATGTTACCTTGATGATTGAAAGAAATTAAGAAGGAATGTTAGCAGTGTATTTCTCGTTTCATGAAATTTTAATTTTTTTATATCATTTTAATGTATTGGTATTAAAAATAAAAATTAAAAATTAAAAAAATTAATACATTTGAAAATAAAAAAAAACATTTTAAAAAATAATATCAAGAAATATTCCAAACAACACCAGAATCACCTGGCTATTTCCAAACAAGCAACATGGTAATAATTTCAGACATGATATGTCGATCTTGGACATAACCTTCAGGGCCATTGATCCTTTAATTAACGAATCTTGTTCAGTAAAGAGGGGAAATATATATATATATATATATATTCAATGATGTCCTTAATTGATCGTGTCTATTTTCCGTTCTCACGTATCATCTACAAAGAGGTTTCTTCTACGGTATATTCTGGAGAGGATGCTTGTCTCCGCACACGTTTTCATTGCTTTGTTCAACATTAAAGCGGCTATAACACGCTCATGCTGGCACACCATGAGGCGAGTCACGCACAACAAAGCTGGACGGTTGATGAAGTGATGGGCTGGCCTCGCTAATCCACAATAATCCTACACAGATGTTGATAAATATATAAAATACTATAAAGAATACGATGATTTCATGAATAAACTTTAGATAATACTTTTTTTATATAATCATAATGACTCTTTAATATTTAAATAAGTAAATGTAAGATGATATAATAATATATAGAAATAGAAAAATTAAATGAAGTTATAAGAATTACATATTTTGGTGTAGGATGTGCATGCATGTATTAGCTAAAAAAATGTATAGCCTAGTTTTACTTTTGCTGTGAATGCTTTTTTTTAATTAAATTAATGTGGATATTGGACCGGTTTATATATATTTTCATTAATTTTATAAATTTTAAAATTAATCACCACATATAATTTATAAATTTTAAAATAATAATTTTCAAAGAATAAATATAAAACTAATTTAGCTTCTAGGAATTTTTGTAGGGCTTTAAGTTATGGAGCGTGGTGTGGTGGCCAATGACTCTAGCTTGTGGCCCAACTTTGTAGGAGTATCTATAGATGTGTGTAGCCAAGGACGAGATCTGAATTTCACGGTGATGGAGTAGTGTATTTATTAACTTAGTTCTTAAGTTTTCTTCAAGGAGGAGAAGATATACCATTGCTGCAGAAATTAATGTTCACCATCGATGATTGCAAAGAAATCAATATATTAGAGAAAAAAAATAACACTTGTAAATACTATCCATGCTTTTAGCTTGGGAAAAAAACAATGAGTATCCATGGTAACTTGTTAGTTATTGTGTTATATCATAGTTGTATTATGCTTATTATTGACAGAAATATTAGTGACGAGTAGCATTATTGACATGTAAAATAATATTTGTATTGTATAAAAAAATTATGTGTATATAAAAATTTGTGCATGGAAGATTTAAGTGTTTATTCATGAAAACTTAAAAAAAAAAAAAATATATATTAGATACAAATTAAAGTGAGGTGTTACGTCAGAATAGGAGTCGAAGTTCTAGCTATTTGGGCCAACAAAAATAGCCAGAAAAAACCAAGCCTAACTATTTAAGCTTGGCTTGAATGTTTATAATTTTTTATTAAATTTTAGTATCACAAAAAAGAAAGCAATAAGAAAACAATTAAGGAATTATAAAGCATGGAAAGAAAAAGGTACAGATAAAGCATAAAGCCAGAATAAATTTAACAAATTGAAAGATATGTTGATGAATTGGGGGATGAACTTGTTACAAGCTCAATTGTTTAGAAATATTGAATTTGATGACTAAGCATTTTAAAGTGTTAAAACAAGAAAATACTCTAGCGAATAATCTTGAATAAAAACAACTAATTAAATAAATATTATATCTGTTCAAACTTGCAACACCAAATAAGAGCTCCCAATGATGCCTCGCTTGGACTCTACTTGGTAGTCGATCCTCCTTATTTCTTGAGCATCAATTTCATCTGCAGTCCTAAATTTATAGAAAAGTGATTTGTTTTTGGTGTAAGCAAAAGTTTGATAGAGTACATGTTCTAGATCACAAAAATAGCCTATAATTAAATGCACACTATTATAAATGGATTTTCATATAAAAAAAAACATTGGATGACTTCTTCGTTGATCCTATGTTAATTATAAAATATTTAATTATATTTTTCAATGTTATTTTACGATTTTAAATAGATATTCAAATTAAAAGTTCTGAATAAGATACTTATTTATTATTGAAAATTGATACTATAGCTTTTATGTGTCTACTGGTCCATTAACTTATGAATTACCTATTCTATGCTAAGAAATATAATTAAAAAAAAACTAATTAGTTGGAGTGTGGGGTTTATTGGTTATTTAAGAGATTTTTAAAAGTGTGATAAATATTATTTTTTAAATTGATTTTTATTTAAAAATTTATTAAATATTTGCTTTTATTATACCATTTTTTAATTAATATTCAATAACTTAAAATAACAACAATAATAATAACAGCTGATAAAAAAAATACAAATAAAAAAAAATATTTAGTTCTTATTTACTAAAACACAATGGCCTTTTACTGTATTGAATATTAAAAGACTATAGTGATCCCAAATGTTTCACTAAACCATCTTAATTTCAAATTTTTAAAATTTGACCCTTTAATACTCTTAATATTTCATATTTTCTATTTTGATACCTAATTTTCTTTATTTTTAAATTTAGTCCATGTAGTTTCAATTAAAATCTATTTTGGTGACTTGATTTTTTTTATATATTTCCATTTATTCGGTCCCTATATAGTTTTGAGTATTTATGTTTCACCCATAAACTTCAATTTTCATTAAACCATTTTTATCCCTCTCTTTTTCATATTTTTCATAAACTCATCCATAAACATTATGGTCCCTGATATTTGATGTAGTTCATTTCAATTCAATAATTTTTTTTTATATTTTTCATTTTAGTCCCTATAGTTTTAGTTAAAGTCTCTTTTTGCCTCTTGATTTTTTTTATTTCTATTTATTCGGTCTCTATAGTTTTGGATATTTGCATTTCAATCATTAACTTCATTTTCCTCCAGTCTCAATTATTGTGAGTTAAGAGAGGAGTGAGAAAATTATTCGAAAAAAAAGAGAAGAGATAAAGCTTTGAATCGATCATATTCCAATAATAATAAAAAATGATTTTAACGTCAATGGGTTTGTAATGGAGAGGGGAGTTTGATGTAAGTGGTCTTGACATTCGACATTGCTGAAAAAAGTAGATTGTAATATGAAGTATAATTTTTTATTGAATTGATTTTGGTAGTTTATATCGATGAGGGTGTCTTTTTTTTATTTGTATTTTTAGATGAAAACATATTGAAAATTAGGTTTTATAATTCTAAAACTCAAACCCTGATTTTCATTAACTGGAATTTGTTGTCGTGAATAATGTATTATTTGTTCTATTTTTTTTAAAAAAACTTGAACAAATGACATAGTTCACTCATTTAAAAAAAAAAAGAAGATACAATTGGTTTTTTTCTTCAAAGTTATACTTCGGGCAAGTCCTTCCAGGCCTAGATTTTTTTTAAATGACTTTTTATTTTTAAATTTTTTTATTTAGAACAAATCTTTAAAATAAAATTATTAAAAAATCCAATCATGCCACCATTGAGCATGATATATTATCAATTATTTTATGAATAACTACAAGTGAATCTAATATATAGAATTGTTTTTATAAATTTGCTCATGAATATTCAATAAGAACAAAATATTTATTACTGTTAATTTTTTATATAATTTTATTAAATTATTATTTTTTCATTCGCAAACTTGAAAATTATTGATCCATGATATTTTTTTTATTAAAAATTTATTTTAAAATAATGATATGTTTTCATTTTTTAAGCAAGATGCCTCTAATATAAAAAATATTTTCTTCAAGAAAAAAGATAATTCTCATGAATATTTATTTTGATTACTTTTAGTTTTTATTCAAAAAATTCATATTGCTAATAGAAAAGATATGCTTTGTTAAAACACACAAAAAAAAAAGAATAAAAAGGGGGATTTTTACTAAAAAAGTTTATTTTTCTCCGGATCTTAAATCATTACTTTTTCTAGGAATATTTATTTTAATTGTCATAAAATCGTATAAAAAAGCATTCAAAAAGTGTCCGGGTGTGTGTGCATGCATGGATTACACATGGATTAAAGTGTGGACAGAGCATCGGGCGATGGGGGGAGGGCATTAATTAGGTTCCCTTGTTCCATCTCCTCACTCATGGCTATGAAGGGGCAAACTAGGCTTACGAATATGATTCACCTGGTCTAGAATCTCCTAAACATATGGGTCCTTTGAACATGATGATGATACCTTGCTTTGTTCTTTCTTATAAAGTTGTGATCAAATGTTAACAAACGAATATTGCAAAGCAGGGTGGGGAAGATATAGTGATTGCCATGTCTGATGGAATCTATGCATCATGTGACCACATATTAACCTGTCCCGGCACTGTGTACCGCAGCTGAAGGACGGCAGCTCCCAATCTACAGTGGAAATAATAACAATAATAATAATATATGAAGAAAAATTTCAATTTTTTTTTTTAAAAAACACTATTTTAACTGCGTTTCCTTTCCTATAATATATGGCCATGGCATAAACTTGATTAGCTTGTATTTTATATCCTGGGATGGATTTGGTTTGGAACATCAACACTCGTTATATAATCTGTCGAAACTCAAAACCAAATTACCCTTTTCAAATTTACCTTGAATCTACCAGTGTTCTGCATTCATCCTCTTCAATATATCTTGTACCTTAATACTTGAAACCCTTAAAAATTAACATTTGGCAATAATGCAGCAACGGAATAAACATTGTGAAAACAAGGGTTTTCACCACGCCATCCATTAGGTTACATAATCTGTCGAAACTCAAAATCACTGAATTCATACAAAAGAACATAATCTGTGAAGATGAAAAGTTGGAAAGTACTGTACCAATATCATCCACTAAATGTAAATTTCCAAGAATCAGAGATCTGCACAACAGAGGCTTAAATACTTAAAATTCAAGCAGAGGATACCTTCAACATGTCCTTTAAACATTTTAGTCACTGTCCTCAAAAAGTACATTTAAGCTCCTTGATGAAGTGTTTGTACCCAAGAAGCAATCTAGTCACCGCAATATGAACATCGAGGAGAAACTTTTAACCATGCTCCTCCAAACTCTGGAGGCGGAGGCGTAGCAAAACAATCAGGTAACATCATATGGCACTTGAGTTCAAGATAGCCCTCCATTAACCTTGCATGGCAAGACCACATAATAAATAAATAGATAATAAATAGTTATAAGCAGAAGCATGTATAAAAGTAATTGCAACTTAAGTAACTTGATAGCATACCATGGACAGACTAATTCGCTTCAACATAAAGCGCTAAAGCAGAAGATGGATTGTGATCTGGTACAATTACAACATAAAATTAGGAGTGGAGAAATAAAGGTTCAATTAGATATATCAAAGTAAAATTCAAAGACTATGCTCACACCTTCTGATTCCACTCGCAACCAATCCCGTGTGCATATTAGAGCTTGTCGAGTGTCTGGATTAAGGGAACTGCGATAACTATCAAGAACCCTGCCTCCAACACCAAAAGCCAACTCTGGTGAAACAGTTGACACGGGAGTCCCCAGAATATCTCGTGCCATCATAGACAAGATAGGGTACCTTGGTGTGTGGACTTTCCACCAGTTTAATATGTTGAAATCACAATTGCGAGGAAAGACAGGTTCTTCCAAGTATTTGTCCAAATCAGATATTGCACTCTGACCTTGAGAAGATTCATGGAGGAACTTGTCAAAGCCCTTTAACCTGTCCCTACTATCAGTACTGGTACTAGGTAAACTGCTGCCAGGTAAAGCTGACCCTTCATCAACCAAAGTTGAGCAGATAGAGTATGCATTAAAAAGCTCCTTTATGCCATCAGAAACTTCCTTGATTCGATCCAGGGCAGTACTACCATAAATCTGGGAATAGTAATACTCCACCAATTTCATCTTGAATCGAGGATCTAAGATGGCTGCTACTGCCAAAGCCAAACTGCACTTGCTCCAATATTTATCAAACTTGGCTTTCATCTTTGATGCCATGGAACTAAGAAAATCATCTGGGTTCTTACACCATTCAATTAACTGGATATGAACATCACAAATTTCAGGAAAATATCTGTTTGCGGTTGGACATTTATCCCCAGAAAAGATATTGGTGATTTCAACAAAAAGTTTCAAATAACCAGTGATGGATCTGGCCCATTCCCACTCTATATCACTTAAAGCTGATGTGTAGGCTGGATCGTGCTCTTGCAAAAAACAAGATGCACTCTTGTATCCTATGACTGTTTCGAGCATGAAGTATGTTGAGTTCCACCGAGTTGATGAATCAAGAATCAAATTCCTCTGACTGCTGATTCCAATTTGCTGGGCAATGTCATTGAACTTCCCTTGTATTACCTGTGAACTTTTAACATAGCTAACACTTCCTCGAACCTTTTCAGTCACCTCTTGAAGTGTTTCCATGGCATCTTTAACAATCAAATTCAGAACATGCACAGCAGAGCGAACATCAAACAATTGACCATTACTCAGCAGAGGCCTGTTTTGAGAGGTCCGATCCTTAATTCTGAGCACAATATCATCATCAGCAGAACAATCATCAAAGGTCATGGCAAATAACTTGTATTCAACATCCCATTCCATGAGACAATTTATAATCACTTCTGAAAGCACATCTTCAGTATGAGAAGAATCCAGTGTCACAAAATTTAGAATTTTCTGTTGTAATTTCCAATCCTCATCGATATAGTGTGCTATCAAACACATGTATTGAACATTTTCTGGAGAAGACCACATTTCAATAGCAAGGTTAATTCTTCCATGCAATCTATTTATCATCTCATACACTTTCTGCTTCTCTTTCATATAAAATTCCATACAAGAGACTTCAATGGAGCTATTTGGCACAAACTCAAACAAAGGCTGGAGATTCTTCACAAATCTTTTGAATCCAACATGCTCAACCATGGTCAATGGATAACCATGCAATATAATCATACGGGCAAGGTCGCGCTGACTCTGTTCTTGATCAAACCTACAACTTCCAAGGCTAATAACTTCATCTTTTCTCTGCTCAAGATCAGACTTCATAACCGTGGGCTTAATATATTCATCTTTTCTTTGTGCTTCATCATAACTAACATTGACACTTGCAACGTTAAGGGAAGTGTCCTTTTTCTTTTTCTTTGCCACAAGCAGTTGTGACACGTCATAATTAGATCTTTTAAGACATCGCAATAAGTGATTCCTTAGATGCGTAGTCCCACTATTACTTGACCCACTGAGCTTCTTGTCACAATGCAAACAAACTGCATAACATACATCAGCCTTCCTAATCCTTTGAAAGTGATTCCATACCACAGACGTCAACCTCTTTGGTTTCTTCATAGCTAACTCATTCGATACCTCCATTGAATAGGTTTAAACTAGCCAAAGTCTGCATCTCACAAGAATCAACAGAAATTGTGACTCATATTACCAACATCTTACATGCGACAACCAGATATAGAAATAATGTTCAGGTCATCAAGTGTACACATCAAAAACATATTTACAACCGATATAGCATAATTTATAATCCAACAGTGGACAAAATGCAGTTGCAAAAATTCAAGGAACTTGATCAAAATAGCCAAAGAAAATATCAAATGGGGAAAAGAGGAAAGAACTGCTAATTAACTGTGGTCAAACAATCTACGTTGAGGCATGCAAAACCAAAGTATACAGGGCCAATGAAGAACATGGCGTATGACAAATGTGAATCTACCTAATCAGAAAAATTTGCATTGATCCAACTGAACTGGACAATCCAAGGAATATAACATTCAAATGATCGAACCGACACCAGTATAGATTAATCTAGATCCACCAAATTTCAATTATACTACTCACATCACACAAGCTACCATCCTAATTGACAAAAGGCTGTTATATACAAAATGTAAGGTCATAAAACAAAAAACTGAGATGATTATTCTCCCTCAAACGCACTTTTAATGTTCCTTGCAGAATACCCAGAAATAGCTAACAAGATACAACCCGCACATCTTACTATCCACTAAGAGATCGCGCCATATCCGTGCATTTACAAATGAACCAATCATCTTAAAATCCCAAATTCTCATAAAACCAAATCCACCGTTTAAGCTTCAACCTTCCTCATAGACCATAACTCAACAGATACATACATACAAACCAATCCATCATCTCAAAATCCATAATTCTTGCAAAAATTAAACAGAAGTACCAATAATTCCAGCTTCAATCAGCTCTATAACTATCAAGAGCACACACATCAACAAACACTATAAAACACAGATGGGCCAACGTCAAAATCCATGTTTCCCACCAACAAAAAACAGAAAAAAAAAAAAAACCTTTTAACTTCACTTTCCTCTTTAACATCAATGCAAAATCTAATCTTTCAGCCATTATAACCATCAACTAAACAGTAACAGAGAATAGGCCATCGCAAAATACAGAAAATAAATATAAAATCGCATTACAAAAGGAAAGTGAAAGGCTTGCATATACAAGAACGAACCCAAAAAAAAGAGAGGATAAAAGCATTAAAAAAAGGTGAAAAATGGATGAGCAAAAGAGGGTCTTACATGGATTCTTGGATAAGCTTTGCCTTTTTGAAACCCACAGAGCCCGAACAGAGGATCCGGGAAGGTTTAAAATTTGGAAAAGATAGAGAGAAACGAGAAGATCCGACGCGGGGTTGTTGAAATTTGAGAGAAAACGGGTAAGGATCCGATTAGATATAGGGTGAAGATGGGTATGGGTTATGGGTTTATACCAAGATTATAATTTATTTTTTCAGAAAAAAAACCGGAGCTGGTGAAGATGGTGGCCGTGTAAAGAAGAGGTATGTTTGGACCAAACTGAAAATGATAGTTTGGACCATATTGAAATTGAATTTGGAGCTAAACCCATTCTAATGCTTGGGTCCCGTTTACTTGGGAGCGGGGCTAGGTTTTGGATTGTGCGGTGTGTGTGGGTTTTGCGCTTTGGATCTAATCAAGTTTCTATTTGGTTAAAGTTCTCAAGTGTAAGGGTCTTCTTTTCTTTTTCCATGTTTCTTTTTTCCCTTTTCAAGATTTCCGATGATGTTATATATATAAATTTTTTTTTCAAAAAACATTATACTTTGTTATATCATGCAAGATTTCCGATGATGTTATATATATAAAAAAAAAATTCAAAAAACATTATACTTGTTTGTTATAACATGTTTATTTTTTAAAAAAATATTTTTTATTTTTAATTAATATTTTTTATATTTTCAAATTATTTTGATGTGTTGATTTCAATATGATTTTTAAAAAATAAAAAAAAATATTTTAATATATTTTCGAGAGAAAAACATTTTAAAAATCAACCGCTATCATATTTTCAAACATCCTCTTAATATTTTCAACAAAATCAATATGTTTTACTCTTGTTAAAGGTGTTAAAAACACATTTTTAACTTGAATTGAAAAATACAATGGAAAATTAAATTATAAAATCATTAATAAACTTTTTTTTTAACAAATTTCATGGCTCAACTACATGAAAAAAAATTCCCTAACAACTTGACATCAACAAATTTCAACAAAAATATATAAAGAATCAAAATATCAAACATTTTCATGACTCTTTTTTTAATTAATCAAAATATCAAACATTTTCATGACTCTCTTTTTCTTAACACCCTTGTATCAAGCCCTTAGTTCATAAAAGAATATAAAACATAGTTGTACTTCAACATTGCTTAAAACAGTCGATGTCTTAATATAAAAAAGATAAACCAATAAATAAAAGATAAAAAAATAAAAATTTTATCTTTTGCATTTCATCTCCTACAAGGAAAAGAAGAAATTTCATATTTGATTATTAATTTCTAGCGCTAATAATTACCAACATATATTAAAGAACATGGTTAACACATGAGGTATAATATGGTATTAACTTAAAATTTAATGATGATAGTACCTCAATTGTGTTGTAATAATCTAAGTTTATCATCTTCACAAGTATTAGATTTGGACAAGAACACAATGAAATGATGATGGATTCAGATAATGCTTATTATGCATAATTAAGTAAAGAGAATGAGCACAATGAGGCATAAATATAATAACAATAATTACTAGGGATCATTTCTAGATAAGAAAAGATAAACCCACCTAGTTGATTTCATAAAAAATACAATTTAGACCATCACCACCATGAAAAGAATTGTCAATTATATATATAAAAAAACCAACAACAAAGTATACATAATTCAATAAAATACCTCTATAGTAGAGCTGTCCACTCGATTCTCTCTCTTTTCCCACATTATTTGCCATTGATTCATCTCTAAGTGACCAAAATCCTATCCTCCAAGCCATTTTTGAAAATCTTCTTAACCTAGTATTGGTTTATTTTAAACAATGCATAAATCCTGTTATAATGAACAAATGATAATATGAAAGGCAAATGTGAAAAAGGGATTATAGATATGTGAAATTTAAGAAAAGGGTTTAGTTTATTTTAAACAATGCATAAGTCTTGCTATAATGAACAAATGATGATATGAAAGGCAAATGTAAAAAAGAGGTTATAGATATATGAATTTTGAGAAATGGGTTTGAAGGTAGCACATGGAAAAATGAGTGATTTTGGAATTTTTTGGTTAATCAACAGTGGAGAAAAGGAGAGGCTACATGATAGTGGCTATTGCTGCTGACATGAAGGTTGAGTTTGGTGGTGCAAGTAAGCGATAAAGGTTATTGACAATGACTGAAAAAAATAAAGAGGTTATTATTTTGATTTTTTTTTAGGCTGGAAAAGTATAGCAAAGATGGGGAAAAAGGATGAAGGTGCTGGTAGTTCAGCGTAGCAAGTATGGAAGGTGAGGAAGAGATATATAGGCTATTGGAAGGTCAGCGCGAATGAGTTATTTCAATGGTGGAAGGTAAAAGATGAGGGGCGACCACTACCATGATTTTAGGTTATTTATAGATTTATCTCAGTGAGAAAAAAAGCTATGAATTTATGGGAGTGTTTCAAATTGCTATGTTTAGTGGTCTAGGACGAGATCATCTCTGGGTTTTGGTGAAGAGATGGGTTATGGTTGGTTGCGGAATGATGAAGAGAAAAAAAAAGCTTCTAGTCTACTACAATATTTATATTTCTAATAAAAACGTAAAAATAAACTTCATACTAAAATCATGATTTTACCCATTTTAGTACCAAGATTATGTTTTTAGTATGATTTTATTGGATTTCAAGTTTTTAAGATGTTTTTGTAAGCAAAGTATATTTTAACTTATAAAATTATATGATTTTACGAGTCAATTTATAATTTTAACAATCATATTCTTGTTAGTGCTATCAAGAATAAATGTAAACCTCATGTTTAATAGTATAAATTTTCACACGATATACCAAGTAAACATGAATAAAATATCTAATATTGATGGCCTAATAGAAAATAACAAGTTTTAGTATGTAAATCTTAGGATTAATAGTGTAAATTTTGACAAAATATAATAGAAAACATGAAGAAAATACCTATAAGCAAGGGTCTAACAAAAAAATAACAATTTTAGCAACATGATAGCAAGGGTAAAATGGTAATTTAACAAAAAAAGCACTTTTTAAAACCATTGGCTAGAGAGATAAGGTAGAGTAGAAGTTAGCAAGTTTTTTCTTGTTACGTGTTTTAGCAAAGAGGAATTGTAAAGAGAGAGTTAAAGGGTGATTATGGACAAAAAAATTAAATAAAAAAAGCTTTTAAAATTAGTTAAAAGTAAGATATTGTAAGTAGTTAAAGCGGAGAAATAGAAAATTAGGGTTGTTAATGAAAAAGTAGTAGCATTTAATGAAGAAAGGTAAAGTTCATCATCCAAAACACATTTATTTTAATTGATTACAAGTGGTAAGAAGTGTGATTTTAATTGATTTTATACTTTTCTCTGTAATTAAAAATAGAAAGAAAATATCTAATTTGAGTTTTTTTAGGGTTAGTTGAGTTTGATTGTGAAAATATAATTTGATTGTATTTTTATGAATTTTATGTCAGAAATAATATTAACTAGGTGAATAAAATTGAAATGGTAAAGTGGATTGTGCGTTACTGTAGTGAAGTGAATTATAAAATTATTAGTTTTGATGGAGTTATACAACTTTGTGTTTTGAAATGGTGTTATTAGTAAACAAAAGTGATTTTGAAATGGTGTTATTAGTAAACAAAAGGATGAATTTGAGGCTAACCATGAATTGTTTGAACCATGGGTGGCTGATTATGAGTAATTTAGTTTTATGTCAATGATGATTTATATAATTTAAATTGAATATGTTGTTTTTAAATTTGGTTATGAAGTATGACTCATTGTTGATGAGTTTAAGGGGGTTGGCAATGAGAGATTCTTATAAAAAAAAGAGGTTGATTAAAATGCATATAAAGTTTTTGATTAAATATTTAAATTAATGAATGAATTAGTAACTAAATGACATGATGAATATTTGAATGAAATGAATAAATTAGAAGTTAAAAATAGAATATTAGGTGTTAACATAAAATGAATGAATAGGTTGCAAGAAAGGGCAACAAAGGTTGATTGAGATGAGTAAATTAATAGATAAGTATTTGAATTAAATGCTTAAAAAAATAAAATTAGTAACTAAATGACATGATAAATGCTTGAATGAGATATGTCGTGATGTGAAATGCATTAAATGAAGAGTTCTCCTCCTAGATTGAGGGGTTTATGGACATGATTGGATAAATCATAAAATTATGATTTGAAAGGTTCAGAAGTTGTTATCTAATATTATGTTCACTATGAAAACTAATGGTATGTAAAAGTTTGGGTAAGGGAACTAGCTATGCAGAAAGAAGAGGCATTACTCTTAGTAGACCCTACTTTTGGTAAACTGCATTGTTAATTTTTTTTTTATTTGTTGGTCCATTTAAGGTTCAAGAAAATTCCTTATTGGTAAGGAGATCTCTATCTTATTAAGCTAAAACCTAACTATTCTAAAGTTTAAATTTTAATGGTGAATTTATTTTTATTTTATATCTTTAATATCTGATAATATACTTTACAGTGTAATTTTATACTTCCAAATATTAAAGTCTATAATTAATTCATAACATATTATTTTTGTTAATTCATTTGATTTAATACCAAAAGTATGCACTACGTTGTAAAACTTATACCCTAAATATTAATTAAACAAATTAATTTTTGTGGTGTTTTTAAATTTTGATAAAATCCTAATAGATAATTATAAATTAATTATGATATCTATTGACTAATTTTTTGTATTTTTTAAAGAATGATAAAAATATACTTTTTATTTTTTATAAAATATGCATGAAATATTTTTTAGAATTTTACCATATGCATACAAATAAAAACATATTTTTGTTTTTTTAATAAGGAATTTTTGTATTTTTTTTTTAAATTTTGAAAAACAGAAAATATTTTTAATACCGAGTTAATATCTAATAGTATAAGTTTACAAACCCGATATTAAACGAAATGGTTGGAAAACCATATGAGAGATCCATAAATTATTCTAAAATGGTCCCTGAATTTTTTTCCTGAATTTCTAGAAATTATTT